GTGGACAGATGAACACAGGTGTGGACAGATGAACACAGGTGTGGACAGATGAACACAGGTGTGGACAGATGAACACAGGTGTGGACAGGTGTGGACAGGTGTGGACAGATGAACACAGGTGTGGACAGATGAACACAGGTGTGGACAGGTTGCACAGGTGCTCTTCTGCTGACGTGTGCGCTCACCTCAGCGGATGGACGTCAAACAGCGGCGGCTGCAGCTCGGCCAGCTCGATGGCTGTGATGCCCACCGACCAGACGTCACAGAGTTCGTTGTAGCCGCCTTTAATCTCCACTGCTGCCACCTCTGGCGCCATCCTGAGGACAGGAGGAGGACAAGCAGTCATGAGGGAAACTCTTAAAACCAGAGCTGGATCGATAGTCCATTAGAGTCCCTGTTCCTGATACTGGTCCCCTCTGTATGTTGCGTTTAATGTCACAATGATTTGATTATAGGGTCGGTCAAAGCAATCATGTCCTTACCAATATGGCGTCCCGATGAAGGACATCCGCCTGGCCAGAGTGGCTGTGATCTGAGCCGAGATCCCAAAGTCAGCTAAGCAACAGAAATGGAAGAATAAGTTTTATTCATCACCAACAACCCAGATCCAGAATGAGGACCTAAACCCTGAAACTTGTCTGAGGTCAGAGAGCCGACATCAAGATCAAGAAAACATCAAGATGTCTGATTTATGCCGTCACTCTTGGACAGGTGACTCATCTGAGCCACGGCGTTCAGAGAGAAGTGGAAGGAGCAAACATCGACCCACCCAGTTTGACCTCGCCCTGATCGTTGAGGAGGATGTTGGCACCCTGGAGGAGGAAGAAGAGGAGGAGACACATGTGAGACATAGATAGAAGAACCTGATCATACAGAGACTCCTGTTGACCCACTTGGTGATCTCACATCTGTTCACCCTGAAGCTCTCTCTGAAAGTTCCTTTGACCATTTCCATTCCATTCCATTTCTCGTTATGTTCTCTAAATGATCAGCTGATCTCTGCCCTAGTGTTTATATTTCTCCGCTCCTGACCTTCTCCATCTTCCAGCTCCTTGAAGCTGCTGAGATAATCTAAGATGATCAGTGACCCAGGTCCCCCAAAACTCAAAGAAGTTAGAAATGTGTTCACCTTAATGTCCCTGTGGATTTTCTTCTGTGCGTGTAGGTAGTCCAGGCCCTGATCACACACACACACACACACACACACACACACACACACACACACACACACACACAGGGAAAGTCATCAAACTGTTGTAAATCTCTTCACTTCCCCTCAGACAGACCCTTTATGGTGGACCAGGTCTTCATAGTTCACCTGTAGCATCTCCCTGCAGATGTAGGCGATCTGAGGTTCTGACAGAGGACCGGTCACTGTGGACGATAAATAATGAGAGTCAGAGGAGGACAGGAACAGGAGGATCTCAGCTGAGTCAGGAGTCCAGGATCATAGAGGATCCACTGTGATCCAGACTTACAGGCATAAAGTATTCAAAGGTGGTTTCAGACCAGCTGTTGGTCCATCAAACCCTCATCATCCTGTAAAAACCTGCTGCAGCTGATTCTTCTGGACTAACAGTTACTTAACCCCCAATTTCCACCTGATCGTCTCCTAAAAGGTCGTATCCTCCGATCGTAGCTGATCGTAATCATTCAAGTTAACGTGTCAATTTACACCGACTTCTTTCCGTTCCTCTGCGGATCGCCGGACTCCTCAGCTGATCACAAGAGTTCTATTTTTTCTGGACGCCGGAGCATGGCGGATAAATTCAGCACAGATTAACCCGTGCTGGAAAGGAAGTCGGGCACAGACTTCAAAATAAAACATCCGGCTTCTTTTCAAAATAAAACACTCCGTGTTTCAGGAGGATCGTATTTCACACCATGCAAACGGGCGGAGACGAACAAGTGAAAGGTTTTTAGACGTCATTTCACCCCGATGACACCATGGATGAGGAGATGCTGATTCTAGAAGTCTAGAAGTAGATTTCCTCCTCTGGAAGGACACAATCTACTGCTTATATGTCTATGTGTCTGTCTTTAGAGAGACAACTCGTTATCGCGTGATTGAACGGGAATCGATGGGTTCTTGTGAGTTCTCGTGATTCCCGCTGTCCATAATCCGCCGTGAAATTGGCCTCACAAACGGATCCGTTAGGAATTGGTTTATGTTGAAAAATCACAGCCGTTCCAGATGTGGTGGAAATCCCGAGTAAGACTGAGGAGAAATCCAGTATCCTGACAAGTCCACAGAAATTGGGTCAGCTGGAGAGCAGACTGAAGTCCATCATCTGGTGTTTATTAGAGGATCACATCACCGTCACCATACTTTGACCCTCAACAACCTTTACATCATGTTTTGTTCTGATTTCTGCGGTTTATAAAAACGGTGTCAGAGATTCTTCAGACTCTGAAAACCTCCACAGGTACAGGACCTGAGGTGATGCTGGATCAATACTTCCCAGACTCTGGATTCTGGACTTCCCCAGAAGCTCCTCTGAACCTGTCAGTGAGGGTTTTGGTTGAACAGTTTCAGACCTCCATCGTTGGTCCTGCTTGGTTACATGGTCTAACCCTGTTACAGTCACACTGTATAATAATCTACATGAATGATCTCTAGGAACAGTAGGAACAGAAATCTCCCTCACCGTGGTAGATGTCCTGCAGGGATCCTCCTCCACAGAACTCCATACAGATCCAGAGTTTATTGGCTCTGCAGAGAGAGACATCTTTGTGAACTCTACTCTCTACATTTCTATGATTCAAGGACTGAGAGGAGAAACAGTTTACCGTATGTAGCTGCCGTAATACGCCACGATGTTGGGATGTTTGCAGCTCTTTACGATGATGATTTCCTGCTGGATGATGGAAAAATCATCCTCTGTGGAAACCAAGACACGGAGCAGAGACACTTATTTACTGATCCACAGACGGTGAAGCTGGAGAGCAGAATCATCTCTGCTGATTCTGAGGAAAAACTCCAAATGACAGTAAAGTACTGCTGATGTTTAGTCTGGGTTTACTGTAAAAGCTGTTTCTCAGAGATCATGAGGAGGGTTGGTGGATTCTTCATGGTCTTTGTCCCGACTGTTTATTATTAAATATATGATTTCATATATTTAACTCAAACTAAAGATGATCAAAGTCTCATCCATGATTCAGAAAAGCACAAAATACAGAAAGGGTCCTCTCACCTGGCTCCATCTTGATGACCTTAATGGCTGCCAGCTCTCCATTCTGCTTGTTACGGGCCTAAACACACACGCACACACACAAACACACACACACAAACACACACACACACAGCTCATTATTTAAACAGTTAGAGATGTTTGCTGTGAGCATGTGCGAGGGACAGAGAGGGACATTTAACTGCCATGCCCGAATCGTTCAAAGTGTAATGTGCGCATGCCCATAATGGAGCGTGCTGTCAGTGTTTTCCCAGCTACAGAGCGCCATCCATCTGTGAGTAAAAGGATTTGTTTATATGTTTACTACACCGTTGGACATCTTCCGGTCCGTTTCCATGCGTCACCCGGGAATCTTCGTGCTGACTGGTTATTGCGACACAGATATCCGCTCAAGTTGAATTCGCCTCTTTTGTGGGAATAACTCGCTCAATTTGCGTGTTTTGCACCGCCAGAGTAGAAAGATCATCAAATCTTGTCTTTGCATAGACTTTACATTTACTTCATTCACGCAAATGATTTTACTTGCACCTGGTGTGAAAGCCCCTTGAAGTTCTTAAACTCTGAACCTCTGATTGCCTCTAATATCCAGAGGTTGAGTCTTGTTTGTGAAGAACATACTGCATGAACACCTCACTCCGACATCTGTTGGACCACAGCAGCTCCAAGAATATCAAGTCTTATTAGAAAGAGGTGAGACAGATATTAATCATATTTAACATTGTCATTTATCATCTGTGATATGAAGCTGTTGATCGGAGTTTCCATTAACTTTCATTCCAGTTCATTCTATCACACCTCAAAAAGTTTATATAAAAATTTACCTTTTATCGTCAAAAAGCGAAAAATGACTCTGAAACTCAGCCCCAATTATACTTGAGATATACGAGAATAAATCAATGAGACTTTAGAGATATAAGGATAAATATATGAGTCTATATATATATGAAAATGAGACTTTGGAATGATCAGAATAAATAAATGAAATCATGTAGTCATTAAACTTTGAGTGAAGAAACAGGAGAAACCTCATAGGTCACTGAAGCTGGGAGAGATAAAATCATGGAGTCAAAACAGGAAGTGATTTTTTTAGTGAGGAGTCAGTGATGGATGATCAGAGGTGGACCTGGTCCTAAAGTGAAGATGAAGCTCTCTGTTCACAGTGACTCCAGAGTGAATTGAGATGATGATGACGTCACACACTCAGCAGATGAAGACGAGACGGAACAGCAGCAGCTGCAGCAGCTGCCCACCAGCTGCACTGAGAGGAAACACCGGCCCACCCTCCACCACCCTGACACACACACACACACACACACACACACACACACAGTCATCTGTGTACCGGGTCAGAGGAGGCGGGTCAGGAGGGAAACTAAGAACCAGACAAATCTGCTGACTCAGGGTTCATCCTCTCACTCAGCTTTCCATCCGGCCTGACGCAGGAGCCGGGTCTGCAGAGGAATAACCGTCACTACAACAAGGTTCAAGAGAGGCACAACCAAGATGGCTGCCGCTGATGTAACCCCGCCCTCTGCACCTCTGAGGAAGCAGACAGGCTGGACTGTGACTGAAACGTCTCCAGATCCAGGATCATCAGCCTCCATAAATCTGGGAGGACTCAGAGAGGAGGAGGTTTCTCATCAAGGCGCTGAAACACAGGGTCATGTGACACAGATGTGGACGGAGAGCATGAGGTGGACTCCTCAGCTGTGACAGGCGGCGCAGGATTGATTCAGCTGGAACATCTAAATCATGGTCGAACCTTCACTGAGCTTTGAGCCGACTCTGTTCTCTGAGTCTGTGGAAAATCATCGGCCCTCTGAGCGACAGTCAAACAGCGGAAAGTGGAATGGCGTGCTGCGGTCACGGCGAAGGATGATCACAAAGACCTCAGAGACGAAGTGTCTTTATTTAGATTTCACTAACACCTCCCCAAAATCACCAACACCACCCGTCTGACTTCCTGATGTTTAGTGTCCTTCCTGTCGACTCCTCGTCACGCCGCGCTCAGATGAGTCTGCAGACTGAACGAATGAAATGAGACCAACTCCACGCCGTCTGACACGCTTCAGTCATGGAGGTCGATACACTGAGCTGACGAAGCTTTTTCTACCAGATCCACTTTCAGTTTGAAACAACATGAAACCATCAGACAGACTGAGAACGCCACATCAGCTCGCACTAAACTCACACCATCAGCTCGCATTTACAGCGCGCTCACTTCGAGACCGCAGGGACTGGGACTCAGGACTCTGCTGACCTTCAGGGGGCTCTGAAACCGGGTTTTAAATTAACCTCATGAACCCGGTAGAAAAGGACACTGCCGTCTTATTTAGGAAACATGGGCGAAGATGACGCCATGACGTCATTCGCTGCTTTCTGAAGCCCAAAGATGGCGGTGGCTGTGCTGGAAACACTGACTCTAAATACCTTTAAACCGCCAACAGGCAAAGGAGGTGGAGCTAAAGCTTCCTGGCAAACAGTTCAACACACCCACCTGTCTGTCAAAGTAGCCACACCCCTAAACGTCCCTCATTGGTCACGGCCTTGATGATGTCAGAAGTATCAGAGAAATGAGCGATTCTGTCACTCGCAGAATTGACCATCTCTCACTTATTTCCTCTTTCTCCTGTGACGTCATCATTTGTTTTCTGGACACGCCGTCAGACCGCGCTGTTTTGGCGTTGGCGCTGTGTGACCAATCACAGTTTAGCACACTCATTTCCAGTGTGGCGTGGAGACAGCAGTCTGAAGTTTCAGTCATTTTCCCCGTGTTGTTTTCTCTGTGACACGTTTTCATGTGTTTCTGATGGTGGAGTTTCCCGCCGCCGTCACACTGAGCACGCTCACAAAGGTGTTGCTGAGTGGGCCGACCTTTGACCTTCAGGCTGACCCAAATATGACCCGGACTTTTTTACCCTGAGGCTGATTATTCAGCACTGTGACTTATTTCAGAGGAAAGTTCTGATCCGGAGCTTCAGAACTTTCAGACAGAGGAACCCGAGCAGCCCTAAGATCATGGTTCTGAGAAAGTCCGGTCCATGGTCCGGATCAGACACTAATATCATCCCTGAGTGACCCGGCAGAGGAACCCGAGTCTGTCTGAGAGCAGGTCACCGAACATCTGAGTTTTTAAGGTCGGTCAACATGTCGTGGAAACAAAACAGACACGTGTGTGTGTGTGTGTGTGTGCGTGTGTGTGTGTGTGTGTGTCATCCCACAGACCCACAGCAGCTCCAGAACCGACCCTGAAACAACAGAGACAGTGGAAACTCCACCCGAGAGGTCAGTGAGGGGAAACACACTCCACAATAAACAACCAAACAAACACACACACAAACACACACACAGAAACACACACACAGAAACACACAAAAACAAGTCGGACGTCAAAGTGAAAACCGCGGACACGACCACAGCAACGTTTCCATCTGCACATGTGTGTGTGTTTGTGTGTGTGTGTGTGTGTGTGTGTTTTCTCTGAGGACGGTCTTTCCTTTCATCGACCTTTTAAAGACACACTAACTTCAGACCTGAGGTCAAAGGTTACAGAGAGGAGAGACTGTCTGAACCTGATCACCTGACTTCCTGTCTGACATCATCACCTGTGTTCAGGTAAAAAAGGTCCAAACATGGCCGCCCCTGTAGAGGGAGAACAGGTCCGTTTGTCATCTGTGTCCGATATAAAGGTTCAGACATCAGGGATACAGAACCACAGACAGAACTACGGACAGACAGAACCACAGACAGAACTACAGACAGACAGAACTACAGACAGAACTACAGACAGACAGAACTACAGACAGACAGAACCACAGACAGAACTACAGACAGACAGAACTACGGACAGGCAGATCCACAGACAGACAGAACCACAGACAGAACTACAGACAGAACTACAGACAGACAGAACCACAGACAGACAGAACTACAGACAGACAGAACCACAGACAGAACTACAGACAGACAGAACCACAGACGGAACTACAGACAGACAGAACCACAGACAGAACTACAGACAGACAGAACCACAGACAGAACTACAGACAGACAGAACCACAGACAGAACCACAGACAGAACTACAGACAGACAGAACTACAGACAGAACCACAGACAGAACCAAAGACAGAACTACAAACAGACAGAACCACAGACAGACAGAACTACAGACAGACAGAACCACAGACAGAACTACAGACAGAACTACAGACAGACAGAACTACAGACAGACAGAACCACAGACAGACAGAACTACAGACAGAACTACAGACAGACAGAACTACAGACAGACAGAACCACAGACAGACAGAACTACAGACAGAACTACAGACAGACAGAACTACAGACAGACAGAACCATAGACAGACAGAACTACAGACAGGCAGAACCACAGACAGAACTACAGACAGACAGAACCACAGACAGAACTACAGACAGACAGAACTACAAACAGAACCACAGACAGAACTACAGACAGACAGAACTACAGACAGACAGAACTACAAACAGAACCACAGACAGAACTACAGACAGACAGAACCACAGACAGACAGAACTACAGACAGAACTACAGACAGACAGAACTACAGACAGACAGAACCACAGACAGAACTACAGACAGACAGAACTACAGACAGACAGTTTCCCTCTATGAAGTGAAAAATTCAAAAATGTTTTTTCTGGTCTGTCATAAAATTTTAGTTCACTTCATTTTTAGACATGAATGTGGATGTACTCACACACACACACACACACACACACACACACACAGACACACACACAGACACACACACGCCCAAACCGCACACTTTCTGCAGTAACCTAACAGGATTAACACAGCTATGCTTGTTTATCTCACTTCTTGATTTTGTTTCTGGTTGAACACACACACACACACATATACACGAACACACACACACCACAGGTGCAGCCTTATCTGTGTGTGTGTGTGTGTGTGTGTGTGTGTGTGTGTGAGAGAGAGAGGCTGCAGTTCTGAAACAAGAGCGGAACACAAGTTTAACCTTTATACCGTCCACATCAGACACATCTGATAAGGACAGACGGACAGTTTCAGAGTTTTAGAGTTTCAGAGTTTTAGAGTTTTAGAGTTTCAGAGTTTTAGAGTTTTAGAGTTTCAGAGTTTTAGAGTTTCAGAGTTTTAGAGTTTTAGAGTTTTAGAGTTTCAGAGTTTCAGAGTTTTAGAGTTTCAGAGTTTTAGAGTTTCAGAGTTTTAGAGTTTTAGAGTTTCAGAGTTTCAGAGTTTTAGAGTTTTAGAGTTTCAGAGTTTCAGAGTTTTAGAGTTTCAGAGTTTCAGAGTTTCAGAGTTTCAGAGTTTTAGAGTTTTAGAGTTTCAGAGTTTCAGAGTTTTAGAGTTTTAGAGTTTTAGAGTTTCAGAGTTTCAGAGTTTTAGAGTTTCAGAGTTTCAGAGTCAGTTAAACTGGAGTGAAATCCAGCCCTGTATGCTCTAGTGAAAAATGTCTCTGACCAAACAGCAAAAACAGATCGAGACAACAAACCTGAACGTGTAATAAAAGAGACTGAGGACAGACAGGGGAGTCCAACTGAGGACAGACCAGTCAGCTCAGAAGATAAGATCTCCATAGTGTCCATGTCCACAGAGTCAGTGTCCATGTTGTCCTCAGTGTTAGTGTCTGCGTCCTCAGTGTCTATGTCCTCAGTGTCAGTGTCTGTGTCCTCAGTGTCAGTGTCTATGTCCTCAGTGTCAGTGTCTGTGTCCTCAGTGTCAGTGTCCATGTTGTCCTCAGTGTCAGTGTCTATGTCCTCAGTGTCAGTGTCTGTGTCCTCAGTGTCAGTGTCTGTGTCCTCAGTGTCAGTGTCTGTGTCCTCAGTGTCAGTGTCTATGTCCTCAGTGTCAGTGTCTGTGTCCTCAGTGTCAGTGTCCATGTTGTCCTCAGTGTCAGTGTCTATGTCCTCAGTGTTAGTGTCTGTGTCCACAGTTTTAGTGTCAGTGTCCATGTTGTCCTCAGTGTTAGTGTCAGTGTTGTCCACAGTGTCAGTGTCCATGTTGTCCTCAGTGTTAGTGTCTGTGTCCTCAGTGTTAGTGTCAGTGTCCATGTCGTCCTCAGTGTCAGTGTCCATGTTGTCCTCAGTGTCCATGTTGTCCTCAGTGTCAGTGTCCATGTCGTCCTCAGTGTTACTCAGACCCTCCCACACTCACTGAGGGGTTTCTGGTCTTGGAGAAGTTCACAGGGAGTCTTTAGCAGACGAATCTGTCTGTATGGGGGTCATGACCTTTGACCTGTTAAACATGTTTGTGATTAAAGGTGAAGGAAGAAATTGAGAGCAGAGGAAGGATGGACCATCTGATAACTTCCTGAGGAAGGAGAGGTGAATTATGGGGGATAATGAGGAAGTCAAACCTGGAATAGAAGACAAAGTGGGAGAAACATTTGTAAAAGATAACTGTCGTAAATGAAACCGTCGTTAGAATAACTACAGTCAGTCTGTGTGGATCCTGTTTACACTCAGATCAGGGTGAGAGTAGAGCTGAGCGATCTGTGAGAAAGTTAATCAGGATATATTATTGATTTCATATCAGCTGATATGGATCAATATCAGGATCTAAAAATCTAACAGTGTTTCTTGGTCTCATGTCTTTTCCAACACAATAATCTCCTGCATCTGTGAGGTCTTTGTGTCTCTTTGGCGTTTTGTCGTAAGGCGTCGCTCTAGAGAAAGCCGACTGAATGGTCGTCTGTTTCAGGCGCCATGGGCTCCTCGCTCCTCTCGGGGTTCGTAACCTTTGGCGTTGCGCGTGCTCTGCGGCGTGGCGCTGCTTCAGGTGGTGAAAAAGATTTGAGGTATTCCCCGACTTTGTGAGAACATGTACTCGACATAATTTACAGTCCACATTACTCTGCTTCATGTCCGACCTCCAAAAACCAAAATACCTCCACACCACCGACGTTTTCCTAACGCCAGTGTTGTGGTTGACATTGATGTGGTCATCTGTTGAGCCTTCATGGTCATTTCTGTCGGGGGTAGCACTCATTTTCTTTGTTTCTCACCAACAGTGCTGTCGGCTTCACCTGTTAAAGTGCTATGGTTGGGTGGAGCTGCTGTCTGCTACGACGCTGCAGTTGGTTGATACTTGGTTCTAATTCAGAACATGATTGGTTCAGACCCGGAGAAACTCCCCTTTTCATTGGCTGTTCGTATAGTCGACTATTGAAAAGGATATTGATCATGTTTTATATTGATAATGAGGGAAATTAGTTTTAGATATATCTCGTTATGGTTTTATGGCCCTAGCTGAGAGGCTGAATATGATCGATCGGAGTTATCGGTGTGAGCGAACACCTGAGCAGGATAGAGCTGAACACGGGTCGCTGTGACTGGACTCCACAGGTCCATACTGTGATCCAGTCTTTCCACAGGTGACCCTGAATAACAACCAATCACAGTATCTGATGAGACTTCAGGAGGGCGAATGTCCCACCATCAAGATGAGAACGTCTAAACCCAAGACCTGAGCCAGCTGCAGACCCAGGAGGACCCCAGGAGGTCTGAGTTTAAACCACCACCAGGAGGGACTGAACAGGTGTGTGAGAACCAACACCCCTGAGTCAAGAGAGAGGGTACTGAGCACATAATGTGGGTCAGAGTCAAGGGTCAAGGGTCAGGGGTCAGAGAGGGTGTTAACCAGTGTTGGGTAGTTATACATCATCATCAACGCTGTTACTTTATTCTTTATTCTGTTACCAAACGCTGCGTTACTCCGTTCCTATTGGTGAAGGTTTATGACATCACACGGTTCCCATAACATTTCAGTGAAAGCACTTGTCACTGTCTGGCGTCACACACGTAATCAAACCTGCGCCATGAAGAGGACTGGACAGGTCAGGGAACGGCATGATGGTGAGCGTGAAGGATGAGATCAGTTTGTCCTCGTGGAGATTATTTTCAACTCCAGAGCAAAAAGAAAAACAACATTTGGGTAACATGTCAACTGTCCCAGCGATCTACTGAAGCGGCGAGAAGAGCGGCGCTTCCACAAAGTTAGCAGCTAAGGTAACGCAGCATCCGCGACCGAGACTCACAACAGCGAGCACACACCCACTCCACCCGAGCAGCAGCGGTTTGAGTTCAAAAGACGACGGAACAGATAAAACGACGTCATGGTTTGTTTAATCGTCTGTTTGACCTCTTGTAGCGGTATCAGGCTGTTATTCCGACAGTCCGACGGTAAAATGTCGGCGTTAGTGTCGAGGTTTGTGTTGGTGCGGATTGGAACGGCTCATATTCAGATCAGATTCAGTGATGTAGATGTATGACGTAGATGTACATGAATGTAAACGTTTGTTTTATTGATCATCAGTACAGAACTGAAATGAACTTCATCAATCCGCCTTTATAAAACGGGAGCAGTGGAAGAACGTTTTACAGGAACTAAATAGTTCTTTCTCAGTAACGCATCAGTTTTTGGTTTCAGTAACTGAGTTAGTTTTTTTTTAGTAACTGTAACTCGTCAGTATTTTTCAGTAATCAGCACAACACCGTCCAGAACTCCAGACCGGATCAGATGAGCTGAGAAACACAGTAACCGCTCAGCACACGGAGTTAGCGTTACCTTCAACGTTAGCTTCAACGTTAGCTTCAACATTAGCGCTTTAGCACCGCCATGTCAGCCTGGAGGAGCGCTGCACCTGTTAGCACGGCTGCAGACCGAGCAGCAGGTCTGTTCCAGGTGTTAGACCACATATGTCAGAGTCAAGGCCCGCGGGCCACATCCGGCCCGCGAGAAGGTTTTTTACGGCCCCTGGGATGATCTTGATTTATTATTAGAACCGGCCCGCAGACCGCAGCAAGCCGGCAGCCCGCAGATCTTTTACACGCACCAATACTACATTTCCCACAATGCAACGGTGACGCACCGAGCAGTAGGCTGCTTCATTTCAATATTTATTAGCACAGCAGTCGTCAGAATAACAGTAAAATTAACTTTCAGATACCCATCAAAAATGGCAAAACGGAAGGTGGACACTGAGAACCGGGGGTTTCAAACAAGGTGGGAGTCGGAGTATATGTTCACGGAGGTAGCTGGTAAACCTGTGTGTCTTCTGTGTGGAGAAAGTGTGGCGGTACTGAAAGAGTGTAATCTGAGACGACATTATGAAACGAAACACGTTTTTATTGTATTTCAATCCAATTATATTTTAAAAATATTTCAGTTGAGTGGATGATAGAAAATTGCTATTATTATTTTTTTCTTTGAAGTAAATTTAGCCCACTTTTGCTAAAATAGAAAATATAGGCTACTGATGGTGCCTTGAATAATACCGGTTTCTTTCATTTAATGTTCATGTTATGGGGATTTTTATATAAAGGAAATTTGTCTTTTGTGTCTGTTGAAAATTAAAGATTACTGACAGAGCCATAAGAAAATATTGCTTTATTTATCTGATCATATTGGAATATATTTGTTAGGTTTTCAGTAGGTTCAGTTAGGTTCACTAGACTATATGCGTCATTTAAAAAATTTTCAATGAACATTCGATCAGTCCGGCCCTCGGCTTGTAGCTAAATTTTTTATTTGGCCCTCCGTCCATTTGACTTTGACACCCCTGTGTTAGACTGTACCAGGGCTGTGTGTATATTCAGAGGACATGTTTGATTTCCTCTTTAATGAGGAGAAAAAGAGAGTTTCCCTCAGAGAAGGATCCATCCACAATGAAGGAGCTGAATGAAGCAGAAAAGAGTCTCTGAGGAGGAGGAGGAGGAGGAGGAGGTGCTGCAGCTGGTACCTCCTCCTCCTTGGCTGTGCTGGGTCGTTGAACACGTTAAACCAGCCGCTGTTTCAGGGTTACATTAAAGCAGTGGGAGTGTGACGCCGCCTCAGCGTTCAGAAATGTTGTCTGGGAACATGCCATCATCACACACACACTCACACACACACACAGACACACACACACACACACACACACTTCCACTGATTAAACTTTCAGGTTTGATGTTTCGTACCAAACCACAAAAATAGATCTGAGTTCTTCTTCTTCTTCTTCTCCTTCGTCTGTATTTCTGCAGTTCTGCCGTCTGTGGTTTGGTTGGTTCTGTTCTCCAGAACCAGACGGCAGATGTTGAAGGTTCTACAGAGCAGATCAGTGAAGAACATGAGTGTGAACTAGTCAGAGGGAAAGTTCAGCAAACAACACAGATCATGAGCACAGCCCTGACTCACACTGACTGACTGACTGACTGTTCACCTGACGACACGAACCCGAGTCTACAACTGAAGGTCCACACACACACACACACACACACGCACACACACACACACGCACACACACACACACGCGTGCAGTCACAAACATGTCTGTGAATTTGTGTTCATGAGTCTGTGTGGGTGTGATCATATCTGTTGAAGGGTGTGTGTGTGTGTGTGTGTGTGTGTGTGTAGCAAGGACACCAATGCAAATCCGTGTGTGTGTGTGTGTGTGTGTGTGTGTCTTTCCTCTCAGCAGTGTGTGTGTGCTGACCTGTTTAGAGGAAGTGTGCTCACTCTGCAGAGAACCTGCTTTGCATGAGTGTCAAACCCGAGTTCGTCTGAGAGATTCACAAACACCGACTGAACTCAGAGACGTCTTTAAGTGTTTTTGAGGAGGTCCGACCTTCACCGACCTTCAGCAGAGAAGATCGGAGGTTAGAAGAAGAAGAAGGACAACAGAGAATAAAAGATGGCGGCGTGATAAACGATCGACCATCTTAGCAGTTTTGAAAGCGTTCATGTGAAGATGTGAAGTTTTCAGAACGAGGTCCAAACGTTCAAAGAGAATAAATCTGACACTTCTATAATCTGGATTAACGAGTCCAGGCTGAGGTCTCTACTGAGATCAGTCCAGGTCCAATCCCAGCCCAGAACACATGCCAGACTGTCAAGGTCAAGGGGGACAAGAAGGTCAGAACTGAACCTGAGCGGTCCACTCAAGACCAGCAGGTGAACATCATGTCCAGTTTTTACTGGGTCCAGGTTTTTGCAGAGAACCCCTTCATGGTCCTGATGCAGACCGTGACGTGAGAACCTGGTCTCTGTACCTGGTCGTTCCAAAGTCTCTAAAGCTGATCGATCTTTGTCCATCAGAGCTCCTCGACTTTGGAACGACCTTCAGAGGAGAGAAGGAGAACAGCAGAGACAGACGCTTCTTTAAAAACTCACTTTTACAGACTTTAATAATGAGAGGACGTCTTTTATTGTTTCATCTCTCGCTCATTTCTGTTCCTCTATTTTATCATCACTGTTATTATCAGGATTACCTGTTATTATTATTTTATTATTATCATTGTTGATTTTGTCTTTTATATTTAATATCCTGTTTCTCTCAGCCTCCACCCTTTTAATTTTTGTTTTTTGTTTGTATTTCGGTCCTCATGGTCTCAGTTTATGTTTCATGGTTCTGTTTGAAAAATGAAAATGTTCCTTTAATTCTGTTTTTACGGAGTTTTTTGTTTTTATTTGTCTTTTTCCATTTGCTCTACGACTGCAGGTCAGAGGACTTTGTAAACGTCTGTTTTTGAAAAGTGCTACACAAATAAACTTATTATTGTTATTATTATTATTATTATTTTATTTATTTATTTTTTATTATTATTATTATTATTATTTATTATTATTATTTTATTATTATTATTATTATTTTATTATTATTATTATTATTTTTATTATTATTATTATTATTATTATTATTTTATTATTATTTTATTATTATTATTATTATTTTTATTTTTATTATTATTTTATTATTATTATTATTATTGTTATTATTATTATTATTTATTTATTTATTTTTTATTATTATTATTATTGTTATTATTATTTTCTCTACTGTGGACTTTTATGTCCTACAGTCAGACCAAAGTCATCGATAACAGAATGATGGATCTCTCTTGTTCAGGCCGCCGGACTCTGAAGTCCTCCTGACCCCCCGCTGACCCTGATCTGAGTCTTCACTGAAAGGACCAAAATACGACTTCCTGTAAATCCAGAACCAGGTCCGCTCACATGGACCCATCAGAACCTTCGTCACGTTGGAGGACGGCTGTCAGATCAGGAAGAACTTTCCAGAGACGCAGAGGACTTAAAAACCTCAGGACTGAGCACTAAGTCCAGGACCCTGAAGGACCTGAAGGGGGATCACAGAGTCCAGCCGAGTTTACTGAACGTCTTTTTCTTAAATTCTCTTTCAAACATCGAAATTAATTGAGTCTGAACAGATCCACCTTTAAAACTCTTTAACGACTGAAATGACTAATTAGGGTCAGAGGTCAGGACTCTTTTTTTTGGAGCTGAAAGTTTTTTTGATTTACTTTAAAAACCAACAAAATCAAAATGTCCGTAAAATTTAACAAATATATTTATTGATCTTCTTTGATTCATTCGATGTTTTTGGAAACTGATCAACTACAAGAGGACGTTTGGATGGTTTATCAGACTGTTTTCATGTGTTTTTTAAATAACGTATTGATCGTATTGATTTAATCAAAGTTTATTAAAGTATAAATATATAATATGACAGAAAAGGCGATAAAGGGTCACCAAAAATACTTTCACTTCATCTAAAACCACTTCCTGCTGCTGGGCCAGGTCTGCACTCAAGATAAGATCGCATCAAAGTCCAAAAATCAGACTAACGTCTCCAACCACAGAAGACTCCATCAGAACACCAACCCTGCTGAGAGGACCGGGTCTGACCCACTTCAGTCCAGAACACCCTCCTCTCTCTGAAACACACCGACTCTGTCTGAGCGACTCAGAGATCGTCTCTACGGTGATAAACTCTGAAACGGATCAGCACCAGAAGAACCTCTGACCTTGTAAACTTCTCCGTACGTTCCTCCTCCGACTCTCAGCAGGATCTCAAAGTCGTCCTGAGGGTTCCTGGTGGAAATGTCCAGAGCGGTCCGGTTTGAGAGATCCATTTGAAGTCTCTAATTTTCCTCCTCAGGCATGTCACACACACTCGCTCTCTCTCACACACACACACACACGAGGAGACACACACAGAGACACACACAGAGATACACACACACACACACCGACACGCTCAGAAACTCAAGAGGCAGAGAAACTGTGAGAGGAAACCAGCCGCAGAGAAAACACACTCTGACTGTGTGTGACGAGTGTCATTCAGCAGCTGCCACACACACACACACACACACACACTCACACACACACACTCACACTCACACACACGTACACACACACACACATACGCACACACACACGTACGCACACACACAAATACATAGGCACACCTTCCTGTTTCTGTTTCTCAGGTTGCCTCCTCTCTCTCTCTCTCCCTCTCTCTCTCTCTCTCTCTCTCCCTCCCTCTCTCTCTCTCTCTCTCTCTCTCTCTCTCTCTCTCTCTCTCTCTCTCTCTCTCTCTCTCTCTCTCTCTCTCTCTCTCTCTCTCTCTCTCTCTCTCTCTCTCTCCCTCTCTCCCTCTCTCTCTCTCTCTCTCTCTCTCTCTCTCTCTCTCTCTCTCTCTCTCTCTCTCTCCCCCCCCCCCCCCCCCCCATATATTTGCGTGTGTTCATCTGTTTCCTGTTGGGTGTGTGTGTGTGTTTGTGAGTTAAACGCAGACAGGAGGAGAGAGTTGAAGCTTTTTTCAGACTTTACAGATTTTTGTATTTTTCCCCTTTTGTGTGTCTTTTGTGCATCATGTTTGTGTTTGTGTGCACACCTGTGTGTGTGTGTGTGTGTGGGGGGGGGGTGCATGTGATGCCAGTTGATGTTGCAGTCGTGCTTTTGGGGATTTTCATTGTGAGTTTCACTTGCAGCTTCACGCCTGTTGGAACAGTGTTGGTGTGTGTGTGTCTTTGTGTGTGTGTGTGTGTGTGTGTGTGTGTGTGTGTGTGTGTGTGTGTGTGTGTGTGTGTGTGTGTGTGTGTGTGTGTGTACTCGTGCTCGGAGCTCCCTGTCAGCTTCCTGTTGTGAAGCGTTTCCCTGCAGATGAATTTAGGGCACCTCGACATCCTGTCGAACAGATCTGATCAGCTGAGCGCCTTCATCATCATCATCATCATCATCATCATCATCATCATCATCATCATCATCAGCTCAGTCAGGACCTGCTGCCTCATTATCTCTGCTGTCATCTGATTGGATAGAGGTGTCCTGATAGGCTTCTCTGATTGGCTGTCTGACAGCGGTCTCAGGAGGGTGGTGCAGACCGATGAGGGGTCCTCGGGTCACTTTAAGACGAGCTCCTGACCGTCCACACTGTCCGCTGGTTCAGTCTTTAGAGACACACGGAGACAAACGAGCCGACGCTCACAGAGGAGTGAGAGGAGGAGCTTCAGAGGAGGAGCTTCAGAGGAGGTCAGGAGATCCGATCTGAAGGTGGACTCAAAGGTTACAGCAGCTTCATCCTTGACCTTTCTCCTCCATCTTCTTCTTCTGTCTGCAGACGACCCGTCCTCCTGCCCTCACTCTCATCTCTGCCACATGGTTCCTGAACGCCCACATGTGACAGACGACAGCAGCAGCCAGAAAAACCACAAAGAAGAACTGCCTGAACCTCAGCTCAGCCCTCAGAGGAGGAACCACCGGGTCAGGCACAGAAAACCGGCTCTGAGGAGGAGGAGGAGGAGGAGGTGAGCGAGAGAGAGAGAGAGAGAGAGACGGCTCTCTATATCCAAACATGTTCACAGCTGGTCTCCCTCATGAAGATCTGACACGTTTACACCGACATCCTCGTCCAGTTTGCAGTTTTATTGGGGTCCAGATTAGATCCTTACATGACCACCAGAGGGCAGCAGAGACCGCCCAGCCAATGACGAACTTGTTATGGAAACAAATGAATTTACAGCTACAGCAGAGATGATGTGGGACGCCAACAACAGACTATAAATGCAGTGAAACAACTTCAGAGTTCAGTAAGAAAAGAGAAATTTGATCCTGAAGAAAAACACTGAAATAACTGAACTACCAATCAAACTGTCGGATGTTCACTCACAACTTCACAGCTCCACCTGATCTTCACTGATGAACTGAAAGAAAATATCATAACGAAGCACTTGGAGGCGTGTTTTAAAAAAGCTGTTCCACGACTTAAAGAAGTCAAAGAAAATAAAGATTACAGATAATGAAGAGACATTAACCAAGAGGCATGCTGTAGTGAAGAATAAAATGATCTGGAGATGTTCTCTGGTGAAAACCACCATCTTGTTCTTCACTACAGCTAACCGTCGGTATCTTCTCAAACCGCCGTATCGTGTTTGTTCCTGACTGACTGCTGCTGGACAGTGTTGTGCTGCATTTTGAGGTCCTGCTTACACCGTAGGTCACACTCTAACTCTCAGTGCCGGTAGACTGAGCCACAGTGCCACCTGCTGGTTGGGAAATTACCCACCAAATCTATCCGAAAATCTTTGGCTTCGCCACAGGGCGAGAATAAAAAACCCACGCAGTATTTTTTGGTGCTCATAGGAAGAAGAAAACGTGGACTTCTAAATAAAGAGTCACACAAAGGCTTTCTGTCTCATTAAGAGTTTTTTTAAGAGCACACAGTCTTTACACATGAACACAACTGTCTTTGTCAAACACACACTGATTAGAGGGTTTCAGACCAACAGACTCGTTTTCAAACTAGATCCTTGCTGGTAAAATATTAACTGAAAAGAGGAGATGAACAAAAAGACGAAACTGAACTTCACATGATTTAGAAAGAAAGAAGAAGCAGAAAAATGAGGCACTAAAATAGAGAAACAAAGATTATAACAAGTTCATGTCAGTGAACAACACTTTAGTCAAGTGTCTGCAGAGGGTTAGATTTGTAGGTGGTCATGTGATCAGCAGGTACAGACAGGTGAGTCTAATCAAACAGGATTTGAACCTGATTTGAAACCATTTTCTCTCCATAGCCCCCCAGTATTCCTGATATCCACCAGTGTCTGCGGTCTGGTCCTTCTGATGGTGTTCGGTTGGTGCTCAGCGTGTTTGTCTTTAATCTTCTTCTGCACATTGGACTGAAGAAAAGCATCACACCAGTCTACAGGTCCATTGACCACAGGACCACGGGTATATTTGTGGTCATGAAGGAGGTTGACCATTACCGACCCATCAGTAAAGTTTAAGATGAGTCTGTTTCCATGCCGACTGCAGGATCCATGAGTGTACAGAATGTAAAAAGGAGAGGACAACATCCTGAGGAGATCCAGTTCATGTCATCATCTCCCTGACGTTCATCCATTCACCCTGACTCCTCTCTGTGCTCTGGATGTGAAGAAAATAAACAACATTTCCTTCATGACAAACTTTATTTCTGACAGACGGCGAGGAAAAACCTCCACGCCTACTTTTACAGGGTAGAATCAAAGACTTCCATCTTAAATACTGACCTGCAGAAATGACCGTTTCATCGTAAAGGGACATTTCATGAAGTTCAGGTGTCAGAGCAGCAGCTGACAGAGCGGTGATGACCTTTGTCTGCTGACGTCCTATAAACGGGGTTTTAGTTTGTTCAGTTTGGCGGTGATGGATAAAGTCTGATGACCTCAAACAGATGTCCCTCTGTCGGGAACTGTAACTGTGGGACATTTACCGGAATGTCAAAGATTTAGTAAAAGCCGATTGGTCAGTTGGTGTCTGGAGAAGCTGATTGGACCTCTGCTGATTTGGTGGGTACACAAAGGGGTAAATAAATACTTCTGTCAGTTCTGCAGAGCCCAGTAGAACCCAACAGAACCTGAACACCTCTGCACACTTCAGTCCCTCTAAGGTAGGTCTTTCAGCCCTGTCTGGTCTGTTTGGACGGGCCTGCAGTTGAGTGTCCCTCCTCAGGACTAATTATGGTTAAAACTTTAAAAAGAGAAACCTCTGGGTCACACGGTTTTCCTGAAACATGATTCAGCTGCTGATTTTCATTTGAAGTCTAGACCCACCTCCGAGAAAGACGAGCCTGCGCTGTGGTCTACATAGTGCTTCAAAATTCTGGAGGTTCTGGTCTCAGGACATGGGTCTTCATTCGTCTTTACTGAGTTCAAATCACTGAGCTGATCCGGTCTGTTGTGGCTGCAGGTGTGTTTCTGAGAGTCATGTGGAGGTTGGTGCTGGCCCTCACTTTGCTCTGCAGCAGATCTGAAGGTGCAGTGAGCTGCAAAGATGACAATGGTGCTGCTGTGAACTGGTGAGACCACACTCAGGACTGAGTTTCATACAAGAGTACCGGATTTGATTAACGCTCCCTTTCCTTCAGGTACATCTTATACAAGACTCCGAACCTGCAGGACCAACATCTCAGTGGTCTGGAGTACGTTTACATGGACGATAGGGGGCAGAGAGAGATGGGGTCCTCCACGACAAACTTTAAAGGCATCAATCATCCAGAGGGGGTCCTGGCAAACACCCTGAGACCCCTCTTTACCCCCATCAGACAAATGGTGAGAATCGTCTCAGATCCATGTGGACCCCCTCCCTCTTACAAATGTTCACTAACAAAGACAGACTTTCCCTGACCTGGTGGGGGCAGCACTTTGGCTCCTCTGGGTACAGAAGCTTTAGTCCTTAAGCCCTGGGGTCCTGGGGCCCCGGGGCCCCTTGCTGCATGTCACTCTCTTTTGTCTGTCCTCTAAGTAAAGCAAAGACAACTGTCCTTAGAAATCCCTGAGCAGGATTATTAGATGAACAAGTTTTTATTGATTCTCTGTGACGACAGAATCATGTCGGGTTCATTCAGAATATTCAAGATAATCTATCTGGACCTTCAGAATGTGGAAGGATCATGAACTCAGGTATATTTCACCTGTCCTTGTGTCCTCTCTACACATGTTCAAGCCAAGTAACTTTGGATTCATCAGCTACAGTGATCAGCCTCCAGGATCTAGTGCTTCACCTGAGTTTGGTCACAGTAAAGGTAAACAAAGTAAACCCCTGACAGAACAACATTTCCTTCATGACAAGAGAAATGATCAGAAATGATCGTTTCATAGTTGAGGGGCGCATGACTGAGTAGGGGCAGTAAAGGGACATTTCATGACGTTTATTTTCTCTCTCAGAGTAAATATGAGTGCACAGCAGGTCTGCTACCTTCTCTGTAACACACTGCCCTCTGGTGGTAAATAACTGCACTAACTCTTTCTGTCCTCAGGGGTTCTGATGGTGGACAGCACTGGTTCTGGAGTCTGGCTCTTGCACAGCACACCACAGTTCCCTTTCCGAAGAGATCAGAATAGTTTCTGGCCGAACAGCGGAGCGTCTAACGCTCAGACGTTTATTTGCGTCACGTTTCTATACCCGGAATTCAGTAAAATCGGTAAGAAGCTCAGACACAACACTCTCCCGTGTCTAAATCTCAGCCTGAGGGGTAACTGTGAAGGTTCAAGGTCCCATTTGATGTTTTTTTAGGTCTGCACCTGCAGTACATCGGAGCTTTTCCATTTGAACATGATATCCCTCCGGGCTTTCATCAAGAACTAAGGGACGCTGTGAACTGGGTCAAATCTAATCCATCCAATAATTTCCAGGAGCTGACATCGACCAACTTGAATCTGAAGTTTCACAGCATCGCTAAACAACAGTTGGATGAGTCCAAACGGGAGGGACCTGCAGGTGAAGCTTCTTTTCTCTGCCTTCACAAATCTGCCTCCACGGATCAGACCAGGACTAAACGACCAACCACGGTCCAGTCCAAACAACCAGTCCACATCCAAACCCAAGCAGACCGTCACTGCCTCTGATCTGAGCTCTCAGTTATAATTACCTCTAATAAACTATAATAAACTTAAATAAAATCTAATAAACTTTAATAAACTATAATAAACTTAATAAACTCTAATAAACTTTAATAAACATAATAAACTATAATAAACTTAAATAAAATCTAATAAACTTTAATAAACTATAATAAACTTAATAAACTCTAATAAACTTTAATAAACATAATAAACTATAATAAACTTTAATAAACTATAATAATATCTAATAAACTTTAATAAACTATAATAAACTTCAATAAACTTTAATAAACTGAATAATTTTTAATAAACTCTAATAAACTTTAATAAACTATAATAAACTTTAATAAACTTAATAAACTATAATAAACTTAAATAAACTATAATAAACTTTAATAAACTATAATAAACTTTAATAAACTAATAAACTTAATAAACTATAATAAACTTAAACTTTAATAAACTATAATAAACTTAATAAACTATAATATACTTCAATAAACTTAATAAACTATAATAAACTTCAATAAACTATAATAAACGTCAATAAACTATAATAAACTTTAATAAACTATAATAAACTTTAATAAACTATAATAAACTTCAATAAACTTTAATAAACTATAATATACTTCAATAAACTTAATAAACTTTAATAAACTTCAATAAACCTTAATAAACTTTAATAAACTATAATAAACGTCAATAAACTATAATAAACTTTAATAAACTATAATAAACTTCATTAACTTTAATAAACTATAATATACTTCAATAAACTTAATAAACTTTAATAAACTATAATAAACTTTAATAAACTACAATAAAATCTAATAAACTTTAATAAAATCTAATAAACTATAATAAACATAATAAAATTTAATAAACTTCAATAAACTTTAATAAACTAAAATAAACTTTAATAAACTATAATAAACTTAATAAACTTTAATAAAATCTAATAAACTTTAATAAACTAATAAACTTAATAAACTATAATAAACTATAATAAACTTTAATAAACTATAATTAACTATAATAAACTTTAATAAACTATAATAAACTATAATAAACTTAAACTTTAATAAACTTAATAAACTTTAATAAACTATAATAAACTTAATAAACTTTAATAAAATCTAATAAACTTTAATAAACTAATAAACTTAATAAACTATAATAAACTTTAATAAACTATAATAAACTTTAATAAACTATAATAAACTATAATAAACTTAAACTTTAATAAACTTAATAAACTTTAATAAACTATAATAAACTTTAATAAACTATAATAAACTTAATAAACTTAAACTTTAATAAACTTAATAAACTTTAATAAACTATAATAAACTTTAATAAACTAATAAACTTAATAAACTACAATAAACTTAAACTTTAATAAACTATAATAAACTTAATAAACTTTAATAAACTCTAATAAACTTTAATAAACTATAATAAACTTCAATAAACTTAATAAACTTTTATAAACTTAATAAACTTTAATAAACTTTAATAAAATCTAATAAACTATAATAAACTTTTATAAACTTAATAAACTTCAATAAACTTAATAAACTTTAATAAACTATAATAAACTTAATAAACTTTAATAAACTTTAATAAAATCTAATAAACTATAGTAAACTTCCATAAACTATGATTAAATTTGATAAACTATAAAAAACTGGAACAAACTTTAATCATCTATATAAACAATGATTAACTGTCATAAACTTTGACTATAATAACTTTAATATTTTTTAATGATCTATAATCCTACAGCAGTGACATGGTCGTCCTTTTTCTTCTTCTTCTCTCTGCAGTTGGAGATCTTTACGTCACCATTGGACAGCTGATCAACAGCGATGTGGACGTCCAGTCCTGGGGCTGCCAGCCAGACCGCAAACCGTCCTACTGCGTGAAGAACCAGCCTAAAGTCTACAACGTCAAAAATGTTTGGACTCGTCTGGGAAACTGGAAGCCTACGCGTGACCACTCTAAGTGGTGTGTATCTAGAGATGTCAACAATCATTGGACCTGTTTATCCGATATGAACAGGTCAACGTCACAGTACAAGCGGCGGGGGGGAGCTCTGTGCTTCAGAAATGCTGCCGTCAAAACATTCTTCCGGGCTTTTGCTCATGGCACCGAGGACTGTTCAACCCCGAATATCATGGACACGTTGAACACTGACTGTGATGCTTCCATGGATACTTCACCATGAGCTGAAGACATCTCCCTCTGCTGACCCACCCTCGTGGAAAATGTCTAACTATCAGCTCACTGAAAGTACAGACCCTCTCCTTCAGGTCAGGTATGATCGTTTGTGCTTCATCAACTCCTGTTTGTCTCAATAAAAGACTCAAAAGACTTCAGCACGAGGTTTTCACTGATTCTTTCTATGAAATAATAAAACCATTTCAGCACCAAAGTCCACTCTCTGCAGCGTGCGCTTCAAACCAAGTCCAAACACAAACTCTCTCTGCCTCCTGATGTGCACTCAGCTCGGCCAGGTGGTGGTCTGCAGCACTCTTTGCTGCGGCGGGCCCCTCACTGGCCTGTAGCAGGGTGCATGCCTGGGTGGGTGTGTCCCAGCCCTGCGCCGTGAACAGCCTCCAGTGCAGTTAGCGGTTGATTAGAAGTTTTTGATTCGATAGCTTTAACAGCTTTATTCAATCCGGTTCTTCCTTCAAAGGGCAACTGGACTTGTTTGAGGTTCTTGGAGACGTTTTGCCTGAGTCTCCAAGGACCCCAAACCAGTCCAGTTGACATCTCTCTCCCTAACATGGCCACACCTGGTAAACTCCACAGATGCTAACGTGCACAGACAATAGAAGTGAATGAAAATTAGGTAAACTGTTGATGGTTAAACTGGTTTCAACAACACTGGACCAGAGCCAGGACTAACCAGCGTGTGGACATGGACCTGAGGAGGACTGAAGGCCTGTGGTGACCAATGCTGTCACCTTCCTCTTCCCAAAGTGTCCAAAGGATCAATTTGAACCAATCAGAGTGAAGAGAGAGGGGCGATCAGCTGACAACTGTGAATGAAAAGATTACATCGACCAATAGTCTTCACTTCATTCACACCGACCAGTTTCACCATAGATATATAGAAAGACTAGATAGCTCACCTACGCTGTGAGCCAATGGGGGCTGACGTCGTCACACGGCGGCCATCTTACCTAGGGGCTGCTGGCCCACTGATAACATTAATGTCTATGCTGCATGTACTGTTTCCATGACAACATCCTGTTTCCATGACAATATCCTGCTCAAATTTCAACTGATTTTCAAACGGATTGGTTTGTTACACACGGCAGAGATGTAGTTATGTTTCTGCATATTTACGGATAATTATGATTATCATTAATTATTACGGCCTGAATTATAGTCACGTTAATAAGGTTTTTAATAAACCAAAACGTTTGTAAATCCGTCAAGATTTCAGCGAGTTAAGTGTATTTTTGTTCGTGTAGGTCGCTCACCTTCCATCCACTACTGTAGAGTGCGCGGGAGAAGTCTCCCTAGGTAAGATGGCCGCTCGGTGACGACGCGGGCGGAAATGCCATCATCCATCTAGTCTTTCTATTTATCTATGCGCTGCACAGGAAATGGTCCGTCTCTCCTTCTAGTCCGTCCACATTCCGGTCCTCCTGTGTGTCGTTCTTTTCGTTCCGCCCTTTTTTCCGCTCCTCTCGAACCTCCGGTCCACGTGTGGATTTATTCCCGTTTTTCTCCCGAATCTTCGTGAGAACCTCCTGATCTAATGTCGGCGTCTTTCGAGCAGATGAGGGCGAACGTGGGGAAACTCCTGAGAGGGATCGACAGGTGAGAAAGAGCCAATCAGGAGGCGGGAGAGCAGTTTAGTCCGCGCGCTAATGCTAAAGCTAACAGCAGCTGAGTTTAAGGTTTACAGAAAAACGATTTTAAAAAGATTTTATGATTATTATAGTTTTATTTAAGGGTTCCTTCTGTTTTCACTGAACTCGGGACAGTTTAATTTAATGTTTCTGATGATTATATGACGTTAAAATGTCTAATTTTCAGTCAGTCAGACTGTGGAGAGCTAACGTTAGCAGAGGGTCTTCATCTTTGTCTTCCTCCTCCTCTGTAAGATGAAGATGAAGGTTCCGGTCCAAAACACTCACTGACTCTAAAGACAGAGACGGGTTCGGTTCTGTAGAAAGTTCTGAGTTTAAAGGCGGGTTTATTTATTTATTAAAAAAAAAAAAACTTTAACACAAAAAAATTAAAAATCTCCACATTTTTGTTTCTAAATAATCGGGTTTCTTTGTAGTTTTAACACATTTACAGACGGATGATCCTCAGGAGAACACGATGGAGACCAAACCGCCTTATTAACTTTAAAAGACTTTACTGTGATATTCTCTGTAGGAAAAGTGCTTTTAAATAAAGTTTGATTGATTGATTGATTGATTGATTGATTGATTGATTGATTGATTTGTCAAACAGGCGAAGTAGAAACAACAACATCAGGGTTACATTTGACTAAACCTGTAATATAAAAAATATTATTCTTAAAGTCAAAGAGTCTTTATTTGTCTCTGATGGGAGAAATTGATCTTGATTAGAAGGTTCTGCTGCAGACACACACATTTAACCGCACACTCACACGACAACAACCGCCATAAAAAAATCAATTACTAAATACAACGGGAGATAAAATACAAAAAATTATATAATCAATAGAGATGTCAAAGTTAATAAATAGATAAACAATCTAGATATTCTCAAAAGTGTCAATAGAGTAATTGATCAGTGTAAAGTCAGAGTATCATCCTCTAACCTCCTCCTCTCATCGTCTCCGTCCTGAACCACCCGCTCATCTCTGAGCTTCACTGACAGTGGGATGAATGAATGAGAGCTCGGACCTGTCGTGGTTCTGTACCTCCGTCCTGAGTTCAGTAACTCAGTCACACGTACTCAGGCTTCAGGTCATGTCACATGTCTGTTAGGATATTATTCACCAGTTTAAGGATTGATTGTTGAAACAGGTCTTTCAAAGTTGCGGGTGCTGACCTGCCAATCATTTTTTCTGCCGTTTTTATCAAATTTAAAATCAGACTCCTCGATTTCACAGTTCGGTTACCGTACCAACGGACAATCCCACCGTAACACCGACTGGATGGTTGTTCTGTAAAAAACACTCTGAGCCCACGTAAAAATAAAGAAACAATGCCACGTGTGTGTGTGTGTGTGTGTGTGTGTGTGTGTGTGTGTGTGTGTGTGTGTGTGTGTGTCAGTATGGACCCCCGGTGTTTGTAAGAGTGAACCTGCTCCACATGACGTCCATATATGGACACTAAGTAGGTTATAAAGTTCACCTGGGGGGTCTCCCCGGGCTTCCTACCATCATGGACGCCATCGTGAAAATGACGCCTCTCTCGTGGTCAAACTTTGGTAAACTTTAGTTTGTTATTAAGGACGTCTAATACTATAAAAACACGGACTCTGGATCCGTGTGAGTCCGTTCTCAGGTTCCTGATCCGGCCTGGATTTGTTGTTTTTCTGAAACAAATCAGACCAGATCAGTTTTACCAGATAAAGACCTTTTACTAAAGTAGACCAGTTCATGGATCAGGATTTAAGCCTGATGGTCTGAGGTCAGACCCGGTCTCAGCTGGACTGATGGGTCGTTCTTGTCCTGCAGGTATAACCCAGAAAACCTCGCCACCTTGGAGCGTTACGTTGAGACACAAGCCCGAGAAAACGCCTACGACCTGGAGGCCAACCTGGCGGTCCTGAAGCTGTAAGTGGGACATGGTCTGAGAGATCCTGGTGGTCTGAGGAGGGCTCAGGTCTTCATACGTCCCTGTTTATCTTGTGTTGTTGGTTCTGTGCAGGTACCAGTTCAACCCGGCCTACTTCCAGACTCAGGTGACGTCTCAGATCCTGCTGAAGGCTCTGACCAACCTGCCGCACACAGACTTCACCCTCTGCAAGTGCATGATCGACCAGACTCACGTATCCTCTAGATGCTCTTTTCTACGTCTTCTTTTATAATTCAAAGTTTATTATTTTTCAATGTCGCAGCAGACAAACAAACATCAAACAAAACAGATGTAATGGAGGTCAAAGATAGTCATAATGATAAAATAAAAAAGAGGAAAATAAAGACAGAGAGTGAACACATCAGTCTCTCAGAACTCTCCCAGTTTTCTCATTTTCACTCTTTTATCTCTCCATCATCATCATCATCTGTGTTTCCCTCAGACTCAGAGTCGGAGCTCAGGGTTCCTCAGAATAGTCTGTACACATGTTATTATTCCAATTTTAATATTATAAAACTGTATTTATTCAGCAGAGGCACCATAAGGAGACATCATCTCTGTGATCTGGGAAGTTCATAATTTAATGATTTACTTATATAGTCTTTAACTTTTTCCCATAAGAGGAGGATCTTTGAACATTTCCATGAATAAATGTTCCACTTCCTGCCCCACACTTCAACAGAGAAGACAGATCTTTCTCCTATATCCTCTGAAGATCTTAACAACCATGATTATTTATCCATGGACTCATCTCAGACCATCTTGAAGCTCTAGGATGGATTTTGGGTTAATGAAGTAGAATTAGATTGGACTTCTGTCCTGACCAACAGGAACCACCTCTTTAACACGGTCTCTTCTTTATTTACTAAAGTGGACTCTTGTTTTCGCCGTCTTTAATCTGAACGTGGATCCAGACTGTGGTGGTCCTCAGAGACCTGCTGGTGTCCAGAGTTTAATCCCACAGAGTCCCTCACTCTGAGACTCGCTGCGACAACTTCAGTTTATCCTAAAAGAGTCGAAACAGAAAGAAATGAATGTGCAGCAGAGGGGTTTTAGTGCTCTGGTCCAGGTCAGGAGGGTCCAGGTCAGGAGGGTCCAGGTCAGGAGGGTCCCGGTCAGGAGGGTCCAGGTCAGGAGGGTCCAGGTCAGGAGGGTCCCGGTCAGGAGGGTCCAGGTCAGGAGGGTCCAGGTCAGGAGGGTCCAGGTCAGGAGGGTCCAGGTGAGAACCAGTAGCGGGTTTGGGTGTAATGTGGTCTGTTTCATGATGAAGACCTGGTCCCTGAGAAAACCGTCTCTGAGCGTCTTTACATACTGACGTGTTGTCGGCGTGAGTCAGCTTAAGGGTGTCAGGGTCACATATCGGGGTCAGGGGTCGTTTCCTTGACTACAGTGTCGCAGCAGGAGGAGCGCCCCATCAGACAGATCCTCTACCTGGGAAACCTGCTTGAGACCTGCCACTTCCAGAGCTTCTGGGTATTTACACACACTCACACACACACACACACACACACACACACTCACACACACACACACACACACACACACACTGAGCACAGCAGTCAGGTGTGTATTTGCTCTATTAGGTCCTTTGATTTCACGACGTTTGTGCAGCAGGTGAAAAGTTTGATCAAATCAGCTGATCGTGTTTTTGTCGTCTCTCTTAATCGGACTCACCTGCTGATCCAGGATCTCGAACTTTCCAGAACTTTCCATCACTCAGTTCGTTTACAGTCTCAGTTTAATCAGACTAACCTCATAACTCGTCTTTCTCTCTGAATCAGACTTCTCTCCTCGTCCTCGTTTACATGCAGCTGAGAAAATCGAGTTATTGATGTGAATAACAATGCTATAACAGGTCTGTGACAGGTCTATAACAGGTCTATGTCAGGTCTGTAACAGGTCTATAACAGGTCTGTAACAGGTCTATAACAGGTCTATAACCGGTCTATGACAGGTCTATGTCAGGTCTGTGACAGGTCTGTAACAGGTCTATAACAGGTCTATAACAGGTCTATAACAGGTCTGTGACAGGTCTATAACAGGTCTATGTCAGGTCTGTGACAGGTCTGTAACAGGTCTATAACAGGTCTGTGACAGGTCTATAACAGGTCTATGTCAGGTCTATAACAGGTCTATAGCAGGTCTATAACAGGTCTGTGACAGGTCTATGTCAGGTCTGTGACAGGTCTATAACAGGTCTGTGACAGGTCTATAACAGGTCTGTAACAGGTCTATAATGGGTCTGTGACAGGTCTATGTCAGGTCTATAACAAGTCTGTGACAGGTCTATAACAGGTCTATAACAGGTCTGTGACAGGTCTATAACAGGTCTATGTCAGGTCTGTGACAGGTCTATAACAGGTCTATGTCAGGTCTGTGACAGGTCTATAACAGGTCTATAACAGGTCTGTGACAGGTCTATAACAGGTCTGTGACAGGTCTATAACAGGTTTGTAACAGGTCTATAATGGGTCTGTGACAGGTCTTTGTCAGGTCTATAACAAGTCTGTGACAGGTCTATAACAGGTCTGTGACAGGTCTATAACAGGTCTGTGACAGGTCTATAACAGGTCTATAACAGGTCTGTGACAGGTCTATAACAGGTCTGTGACAGGTCTATAACAGGTCTTTGTCAGGTCTGTGACAGGTCTATAACAGGTCTATGTCAGGTCTATAACAGGTCTATGTCAGGTCTGTGACAGGTCTATGTCAGGTCTGTGACAGGTCTATAACAGGTGTTTCTCCTCCTCCTCCTTCTCCTCCCTCTGACCAAAGTCTCTCTTCTTCTCCTCCTTGTCTTCCTGACAGACGAGTCTGGAGGAGAACAGGGAGCTCATTGACGGCATCACAGGATTTGAAGACTCTGTTCGTAAATGTGAGTATCATCGTCTGACTCTGACTCGTCACTCCTTTCAGCTTCATCACACCATCATCATCTGTTGTTCCTCTGGTCTTCTCCTGCAGTCATCTGTCATGTGGTGGGCATCACCTACCAGACCATCGAGCACCGGTTACTGGCTGAGATGTTGGGAGATCCTCTGGGTAAGGGGTCAGGGGTCAGGGGTCAGGGGTTAGGGGTTAGGGTCACAAAAACCAGTAAGAACCAAAAAAACATCTGTTAAAAAAAAACACGACACATCATCAGGAAACCGACATGTAACCTGAATGAAGAGAGCGTCACTCTCACCTGTGTGTGTGTGTGTGTGTGTGTGTGTGTGTGTGTGTGTGTGTGTGTGTGTGTCTGTCTGTCTGTCTGTCTGTCTGTCTGTCTGTCTGTCTGTGTGTGTGTGCGTGTGTGTGCGTGTGCGCAGACACACAGGTAAAGATCTGGATGAATAAATACGGCTGGACAGAGAACGAGGAAGGACAGATCTTCATCTTCAACCAGGAGGAGAGCGTCAAACCTAAAAACATCGTGGAGAAAATCGACTTTGAGAGTGAGTCTCCGACCCGACGAACACGGAGAAAAAACGAACAAATAAACCAGAAAATATGGAAATATGATCCCAATGAACTTTGACCTTTTTCTTCTTCTTCTGCTCACAGGTGTGTCCAGCATCATGGCTACATCCCAGTGATGGGCGCACACACACACACACACACACACACACACACACACGTCGAAGATTTGACCGGCTCATTTTTCCAGAATTCTCTTTTCTCAATAAAGTAATTTATCATTTCAAAGCTGTGTCTGTGTCACTTCTTCACCTTCATGTGTATTTTTATCTAGTATACTCTATTTAACTGGAACAATCATTCTGTTTATTATTATTACATATAACTAAGAAAGTGACTGAGAACATCCACAGATCTGTGTTTATGAAAAGAAGAAGTTTCAACAGTCTGAAGGTAAACTCTGATCCTCTCCTCAGACTCCTTTACTGTCTCTGTTCCCCCTGAACTACTATGAGGACTTTATTAGTCCTCCAAGATTAAATGGTGGACTTTGAGGTTTCTGACCTCCTGTTGGAGCTCAGAGGAACTACAGTTGATGATAAAACTCTTTTAAAATCATCTTTATTTCTAATCAAACTGAAGACTAAATTCACTTTAACTGTTGAACCTCTTCTTCACCCATGAGCTTCCAACCTTCACTGACTCCATGAACTGATGACCATCTCCGTAAGATTTGGTCACATGATCAATTTCTTTGACTATTGACAAGGAAAGGGGGGTTGGGGCTCATCTTACCCCGGTCTCCCCTACTGAATAGTGACTCTGAAGAACTCGGTTCTGAAACTCTCGACGTTCATCTGACGGACTTGGTTCTGGACTCGGTCTCGGGTGTGTCTGTGACACCGGAACCGGGAAATCCCTGCAGGTCCACGTGTAGACCCGCCCACACCTCCAGGTGAGCACCCCCTCCCTCTACCTGTCAGACTGGGCGTGGCCTCCGTACATGTTGTCTCGTTCTCAGGTGTCGGACGGAAGGACAGGTCCGGGTTTGTGCGCAGACCGACAGAAAACAGCAGAAGTTTTCGGACCAGAGACCCGGACATGAGTTCGTCTTCGGAAGGATCCCTGCCCCCCTTTGAGGACGACGTGGACTCGGTCTGTTCGGACGAACTGCTCGGTTCTCAGTCCCGCCGCTGGTATGACGAACTCCTGAGCGGAGACCTGAACCCGGACGGCGGGGGGGACGTGAACACGGTGGGCCGGGACGGACTCTTCGTGGACTATCACTTCCCCCTGGGAGAACTGGAGATGCAGTCCGGGGTCCGGTGGAAACGACCAAAGGTAACCCAGAGACCCGAACTCAGGGACTGTAGTGAGAGAGACCATCAGAACCAGGTCCTCACAGCAGGTGGGCCTGT